CGAGAACGCGATGCGATATTTACCAATAGCGCAGCTAGGTAAGCAGCGAGTTACAGGACCATACTGCGACAGCTGACCTGATATGGAGCTAGAGGTGATTTTGCAATAGTGCTTCTAGTACAGTATTGCTTTAATGATAAAATGGTCAAAAAGAAAGTTTGCCCTTCTGTGTATGTACTAAACCAATTTCGTAAAGTTCAACTGTTCAGAAATAATTAGTTGAACTGGATTGACTTTTTAATTAGAAAGAGAGCTGATTTAGAGTTCATTTAATTGTTAGTGGAATTTAAAATTAAAGACTTGTTTGTACCTGAGCTTTTAGAATATTCTTTCATTTCGAAAATCAATGATAAACGTTTATTTTCTGTTTGAAATAAACGTATTCTTGTAATGTTGACTGATTTTCATTTTGTTTTGTTTTATTCTTATGTTGTGATAATATCTATAATAAAGTTTTAAAAAAATGGCAATGCTATCATCAGTATAGAAATAAATATCGAGGTACCACATGGCCATATATACACAAATTGCGTAAAGGGACATCTGTACTCTGAATATTTAAAAAGAAAATGTCATGGCATACATTCAAGAGAACAATCATACCCTGACGGGAGAGAAGGATTGAGAATATTTTTCATGATATGTTTTATTGGATGTTATAAAATTGGTTCAAGAATGTAGTCAATGAAAGCGTCGAAATGGATCAAGCGTGCGTGCATTAATGTTTACCATATGCACGGAGAGTACACTAGTGGTGATAACAACTGTCAATTTCACGACTTTATACTCATATTGTAAACCCATCTTATAAAAACAAATAATACATGTCTTTAGCTCGTGCATTCGTGATATACATTGCATTTGGTTAGATTACAATAAGACGGACAATGTAACTAATACACTCGCAAGCATGTACTATTTGTATAAGAAAGAGTGATGGACAGCGATTCATGGTCAGCGTATAATTTGTCACACATCATCAAATGCATACAACGGATTATTATCCACTCTCTTCAAACGTGTACATCAAGTTTGAGAAATACCTATTTAATGTGAATCGCTGCACTTTCAGAAACACACAAGGCACACAAACACGTATCTTCGCCCACTCATACACATCATCATTTACACGCACTAAAACTCATACAAATGCGCGTGCACAATCACCAACAACCACACGCACACGCCCACTCACGCGCACACAAACACCTTCACCAACGTCTAAAGAACATCCGCGCACACGCCCAAACACAAGTACTCAACAAAATCCACAGAAACTTTCGCATTTTGGTACGCATCAACACCAGAACCCATACGAGAAATGAATGATTAGTATTTAGATAAGTGTAATTCATTGAAATCGTGAGAGCACAATATTCATCCGTAATCATCTATTCTTCCAGTCAGTTGATATTACAGCACAACCTGTTATTACTATGGAAACGGACGTTTTTTCAATATTTTGTATTTTAGTTAATTGATGATATCGACCATACAAATCTCTCTGATAACGAGTCTGTAAACATTATGAATTTTGTATTTGTCCTTTTACCTGCTCGTTTAATGATATCATTTAAATAGTTTTTAGACCCACTTCTTGAAATGTATTCATACGCACACGCACCACTCTTACAGAATATTTTAATGGTGATTTTATTCATCATGAAATATGATATTTCACATTGCTTCAGCTATTTTAAAGATATAGGTGAGTACTATAGTCATACAGTTACATTGCAAAAAAATTATGTTTGACATAAGACTGTGTCCTGTGTAAGTTTTGGAATAATCAAAGTGAAAACAAGTGACTAAATTTAAATGACCGTCGAACACACTCCACAAAGAAATAGGTATATGGAATAGTTGGAAAATACAGCTATTTCTAGTTCTATTTCGAATGATGGAGCATTTTCAGAGCAATCATTTTTATGAGATATATTACTATAATATTCCTCCAAACCGACATACATAGAACGAGAGAGACAATAAATATTTCTTTCCTTTACCAGAAATCAATCTTCTCTTTAAAGCCCGTCTGCACTAGTTTGGCCAGGAGGGATTAAACCATCCAGCATGGTCACTGACAGGTGGTTATTTCATCAAATCAGCTCTCAATTAAAATAAGAAAAGGGAGATCATCATGATTGGGGACCAGCGGTCACCAATTGGGCATTATTTGCTATATAGAAGGCGCAAGTAGCTACAAGTAGTGCAGTCCCGCTTTAACGAGATTTGGATACAGACCATTTTCCCTCATAGAAGCTTTTCAAAAAAAAAAAAAAATGCAATAACAATTTAATATCTTGGTATATTTCATCCTTTATATAGTGAGTCAAGCAAGTAGAAAACCAGAAAATCCTGTATCCTACAATTTATGAAAGACAATACCATCAACACCTAACTAAGTCATATGGTATATCTCTATAAAAACAAGATATTTGTAATAATTTTTTTTTAATTTACTACGCTATAATATATTCAATGTATATTCAATACTCAAAGTTGACACTAGCATAAGTATATATAAAAACAAAACTACAACCGCTATGTAACATTTTCTTCATATGAACATGTTATATTTTCAAAACTTATATCACCTTTATTACAAGACACATTATATATGATAAAGCACACAAAATATTTTAAAGTAATGAAGCTATGAAATAACTTAATTAGGCCTATATCAAATGAAACAACATTAAATATCAATCAGCTCTAATTATATCATGGAATTTGCCTTGAGCAAAGCATCATCATAATAGGGTAGGTGTTGGAAATTAGAGACCCTAAGCACATTTGCATAAATTACATAAACATGAAAAATGTTACACATACAGAAAGATTTGTATTCTCTTCAGTAACGTCTTCTCTTTATTTGGCAACAAAATTGTGGTCATAATGTAACTGATTAATAAGATATCAATGATTAATGACGCCATCACCAAAAGTCTCTCATTACCTACATGTGTAGGTAATAAGGGATAGTTACAAATCAAGGCATTTTAAATATATTTTGAATGAAAATGGAATTGTTATAATTAGTTCAAACACTTTTTGAAAGAGATACATGCAGCAAATAAACTTACTGTAATTTTAAGACAATTTTAAAACAATGTGGCCAAAAATATTTCTGTAGCTTTTTGTTTACAGTAATAAAGGTGCTTTAAATTATGTTTAAATACTTTCAGAATAATTTTCTGGCAATGTGAATTTTACATTGAACAAACTTACAGCATAGAAACAACTTCTTAAAATGAAATGCATTCAAATTAGAATGGTGACACGAACCACCAAATATGTTTTATGGTAGTCTTTCAACATGAAATAAACAACTGGAGGAAAGTAGGCCCCCATTTTGACCTGGTGTCCCCGATTGCCTACACACGTTTCTGATCAGACACCATTCATAATGTGCATTGCAACACCCAATCACAACACACAATGGCCATAGGTTTTATGTGCTGGTTGGCACACTTCATAAACTTCCTTTTAAAACTAATTTTTAAGAGCCACCCCTAAATTTCTGCATACACCACAACATTCAGGAAAAATTGTGTTTTTATATAATATCAACATTGCTTATCTTGGTCAATTTTGCCAATTTTCTCGGAGAAAGAACGCATTGTAGTCTTCGAAATGAATTGGATATATGCAGTAGTATAATTGTTAAAGGCCACATATGGCGCTATAGCAATATTGGAGCCAACACAGACAGACAGTGATTGGTTCAAGATTATTGGTCTCCAATTCCCTACACCCAACCCACATAATATGCATTTAAAATCCAATTACATTTTTATCTTTGTATTTAGTTTTTTTTGTATTTAAATTATTTCAAATTGCCGTGCATGGATAAATGAACGATGCTTGATGAATAAAAAAAATAGCGAAGACGCAACATCTATATGGATTACAACCGTATCAATAACCTTGGTGCGAGTCAACAACAATTCAACTGCAGTTCGGTTCGGATTTAAGAAAAAAGAGATAAATAATCAGCCTAGTATAGTTCAGAAGAGACCATTTTATTACCTGAAATTATTTACAGAAAACGTAGTAGGTCCATGGTTTGGGCAAATAATAAAATAAGTTGTGAAATTTCTCTTTCTTCTCATGTTGGAAAGGCATACACTAGAAGAAACATCCCATGAAAAGGATTACTCATAAAATCCCCTCATATCTCAAATAATTATGATGAGAAATAGGATAAAAATTGTGAGCAAAGTTTCTTGAGACATGTATGTAGGTCTTTATATTCATTTCAGTGTGCAGTACATGTGACTTCAATTTCTTTCAATTTACTATTCTAATACCTAGAACAGCTTACAAACATGAATTCTTACTGTACTACTTAATCAATCTTTCCCAATAAGTGCCACAAGTTTTCTTTCACAATTAATTTAGATGAAGAGTACTCAATAACATTTATAACATTAACGACATTAAACAAAAAGCTAAAAGGCTAGATCAATGTACATGTTATTATTTACATTGATCTACATTTGCCACACTCAACCCAGGTGATGTAAATGGGTACCTGGGAGGAATTAATTCCTTGAAATGCTGGAGCGCTGTATACGGCAGCAAGGCTAAAGCCGGGGTAATAATAAATGCGCCTCGAAATAGAATTTCTAGATAGATAGAAATGCCTATTATTATTACAATTATTATTTCCATTTTCCCCTCCACTACAGGTAAACTACAGATTTTCTACTGAAAAATTCATTGTCAAGAGCAACATTTGTTAAAAAGTATGCATCAAGTTTGAATATGTTAGTAAACCATTTTTTCACGAGAGGCTGCAGCAGCTAGATCAAGAACTGAGTTTTTGTATTTGTATCTTGAAAATTATTTTCACATGCAACCTTTCCCTACGACATACTCTATCTTGAAGGTTAAAGATAGCACACGATACCGAGGTACAAGAAGACTTTCAATTAGGCTTGTTTCTTGAATTCCATTAACCGTCATATTTGTATCACTGGTAGGTTTTAGAAGGATCAACCTTGCACGAATCGCGGCCTAGGGAATCTCGAAATGAACAGCACCCCTGCAAGGATTTGAATACCTTTCTTTAACTCTAGTTTCTTTGCCCCATTGCTTAGAATATCTGGCGCTTCTTCACCAGAAATATCATTTTCGTTGCTGACGTTCCTGATCAGCGGACATAGCTCCTCATCCGTCAGTGTGGCAAGGGTCCTTCCTCGAAGATGTATTGGTGTCCAACAGGTCAACGTGTTTTCGTTGGAACGCATGTACCATCTGTACAATGGACGCAGGGAACAGTCACAGCGCCAAGGATTGGGATCGAAAGAGATGGAACGAGAGACTTCTGGCAGGGTCAGGGGTGAGATATTGACAAGGTCATTGTTACCGAGCAGGAGATCAAAGTGGCCCATCTTCACAAGTGCTTCATGGCCGATGACCTGAAGGTGATTGTCCTCGAGGTTTACCAAGACAAGGTGCACGTTGAATCTCAGTGCATGCATTTGTATGCTTGTGATGGCATTACCCTTGAGATTCAAATACGAGATTCTTGGTGTCAACTTGAAAGAATCTCGCTCCAGAAGGTTGATGTTATTAAATGACAGATCTAGTTCCGCAACATGCATCGCTTTAATTGATGGAATGGGAATAAAGGAGTTGTATCGTAGGAATAGTTCCTGTCAATTGCCAACGTGAGATTAAGTGGTTCGTTGCTGGCATCACGTCGATGGAAGAGGGTCACATTATCCATGTACAGCGAATGAAACATGTTCCTACCTTGTTTGGAGAGCAATTGTTCAAAGGGCATGTAAGGAATCAGTGTGTGCGATATTGCCAGTGATACAAGTTTAGGGAGATTCAGGAATACGCTCATTTCAACTACACTTATAGGATTATCAGACAGGGAGAGGGTCGTGAGCTGATCACAACCTTCGAATATGAACGAGGGTAGGTATGAAATCAAATTCGAATCGAGATATAAGTCCTTTATCCTACACGCCAAGTGGTCAGTAGTAGCGTTTGCCACGGAATGTTGCGCAAAAGGGACAATTCTCGTTAAGTTTTCGATTCTATTTTTTCGGGCATAAAGAAATCGAACGGTGGATGTATATGGTAAAACTAAAACTGGCAACAAATTTCCATCAAATACACATGTAATTGCTGTGTTCGAATTAAACTCGCAAGTATTCACGTTGGATATCTGGTTGTAACTCATATTCACAATAGATAATCTTGGTAAGTGATCCAACATGTCAAATGTTGACAAATTGTTGTTTTGCAGCAGGACCTCGGTAAGAGCCAGACCGCCGTTTAACGTAATGTTAGTCAACCCATTACTAGAAAGATCAATTGAAGTTAAGAATTTGAACTCTAGATTATTAAGAAAAACTTCTTTATTTCATTATTTCTCACGTGGAGACTAAAAAAGTTTGAAAATATTTGTGTCAATGCTGGCAATTTAACTAGTCTGTTATCATTAAACACAAGTATTCCTAGATTATTACACCCCAGGAAAGCCGTTGGACTAACGTAAGTAATATAGTTATCGAGAAATGAAACAATATGCAAGTCAGTCAGATTCTGGAATTGTTCCACCTCAGATATCTTATTATGTTGAAGATATAGCACATGCAGTTGTTGAAAGGATGTGGGATTGTGTCGGTTGAATGCCAAAATATCGTTGTCATCCACTTCAAGGGTTCTTACATTTGGAAAAGATTTGAGAAAATTAAGATCACTGAGTCTATTCCCACTCAGTTTTAAAGTGAAGACTGAATTGATGACAGCATAGTTTTGACTTATCCCATCTGGACGCTTTGTTTCTAGTACGGAAATATTTGTAATATCATTGTATGCAACGTTAAGATATACGAGGCTTGGGAATATTGTCTTGTTAACTTCTAGTGTACCATGAAGATTACAATGGGAAAGCGTTACATATTTAAGTCTGTCCATTATAGGTATGTGGGATACATCTTGTAAAGAATTGTTACTCAAGTCAAGGATCTCTAATGCGTCAGTGTCACCAAACCCAACAAGTGACTCGATGCGATTTCTACCTATCTTGAGCACTGTGAGGCTTTGACCAAGCCTGATCTTCGGAAGAGAGCTGGGTGAGTTGTTGTCAAGTGACAGAGATTTGAGCTTGTGTGGTATAACATGGGCAGCTCTTTGGATGAGGTTGTTTTGCAGATCTAGAAGCTGAAGGCGGGGAGACCACTTAGATCTGGAAGAGACCTGATGAAGTTGTTTCTCATGGTGATCGTACGCACAGCATACGCTGTCTGGGATTCTGGTATGTCAAAAACCCTGATCCCGCATGAATCGGCAGATAGATCAGTGATGACAACACGACTGTCTGCAAAAGATCTAATGAAATTAAAGGATATGTCAAGGGAATCGAAAACCACAAAGGGAGAATCCTTGATAGCCAATGACTGGATTAAATTTGAAATCGCGATCAAGGAGATCTTCGGGAGAAGGCTCATAAAACTCAGGTCAGTCAGGAGGTTGTTAGACAGGTACAACATGGTAAGAGCCGACATGTGCTGAAATGCATGTGGTTCAATAATAGATATGGCGTTGCGGTTTAGGTTCAATCTTTGTAGGCTGGTCAGGTTTGGAAAGGATTCCGTCTGGATCATACGAATGTTATTTCTAGATAGATCGATTCCCCTAATTTCAAGAGATATGTTGGCAGTCGGAACCTCGGTACGTAGTTGATTGCGACAGTTGACATAGGCAGATGAACATTTACATGATGTTGGACACTGCTCTCCTTCCGGTTCCACAAACGAGAATAACAGCATAAACACAAATACACACATGTAATTGCTAGTGTTACACTGAACTCGCTTTACTTCAGCACAGAATGCAGGGTTGGCCATTTTAAAATATGAAGGTTTCGTGTCTGAAATACTTGACCAAGAATGGCGACTGCAGAAACAAACGGGGGAAATGATAAATGTAGTACTCTGAAGACAGTTTTATCTAGAACTTCCAGATTTGTCCCTTATCTTTTATGCCTTCCTCGCGAAATACCCACGGAATTTCGTTTTCTTTTCTTTCTAGACAAATGATAAACATTTAAAACAATTTGTTTAACAGCTTGCATTGTGTCAGTGACACCAATAACTGACTTTAAAGAGTTTTATAGTTATTACTTCTTTGCCTGCGGATTTTTGAAAGATGAAGATAGATATATTTGCCAATTTTTAATGGACTTTATAAAGGCATAAATCAATTTTCATTATCGTTTAAAAGTGTACTAGCCTTTTATTAGTTGAATGACACCGATACATTGGGAGGGATGTTTTCATTAAGGCAGGTATTACGAAAAAAAGAGAGAAAACAGAATCAACAAAACCAAAACCAAAAAGTGTCTTTAAAGTCTTTGGCGGACATATTGGTAAATGCAGATTTAAGTTGCTCATAATAAGATCGGAAGAGGGTATTGAACCTCCCGAAGTCATTGACATTAAGAACACATCCATCTCCACTCAGGTTTTGTCAAGTGTAGAACCTATCTATAAACGCCTACAGAGGCAAACTGTCTGTTTCCTTTGTAAGACCTTTATAGAAAGGTTTTATTATAAAAACAGAAATAATAATAATAATAATAATGGGTTCTTGTATAGCGCTCATGTCATTCAGATTTGTCCCTCCTGGCGCTCCCGATTATTACACCCATTTACCAATCGATATTATTGGAACAGCTGCCAAAATCAACACATTTGGTTTTAATTTGTTTATCAATCTTTGGTTTTCCATTTCTGCAATTTGTCAACATACCAATATTATATTTTTTAATCATGATAGGGTATGTTATTTTATTCCTTATTCGTATCTTTTAAATAGTGTCAAATTACATGAAATTACATGACTTTTTTTTTATTGTAGGTTTTATGTAGTAGTATTTAAACCGCTCGTAGGGAGGACAAATTAGTATCTCTGTTGCATGGTATGCATTTTCAAACACTTTTGAACATTTCTGCAGTTCATTACAATCTGAAACATTGAGGATTCGTTTTAGTTGTAGCCATTGTTTACGCTAGTTGCACAGCGCCCTCTTCAGGTTCCTGCGTACATACAATCTTCGGTTCATGTGTACAATATATTTCGTTCGTCTGGTGCCTAACTACGTCTACACAGAGCGGCTATATCTATTTATATTATACTTACAATTTATAAGTTTGTGCATCGTGCTTTTGTGCTTTTCATGTAAAGAAAATCGGATGTAAATAGCAGACCTTCGGTGAAAAGTTATTTTGTCAATATGTTCGTTTTCTTTTCCCGGCATCAATGCGACTCACTTCACACTTTATCGTATTATATTCACCGTTTGTTTGATGTTGTCTTTGCCAAATATTACCACTACTACTACTCAGGCGCGTACGCAGGGGGGGGGGGGGGGTTTTGGGGTTAAACCCCCCCCCTTTGGAAATTTTGTGTGTGTAAACCCCCCTAAAAAAAACCTAAACCCCCCCCCCCCCCCCCCCTTTTGGATTTTTTTTTTTTTTTTTTTTTTTTTTTTTAATTATTAAAAAAGAAAAAAAAAAAAAAAAATTATTCCCATGGCCGACCTAAAAAAGGTGACCTTACCCCCCCCCCAACGGAGCAAAATGTCAAATTTCCAATTTCGAGACCAAAAAAAAAAAAAAAAGTGTCCTCTTACCCCCCCCCCCCCCCCCCCCCCCCCCCCCCCCCCCCCCCCCCCCCCCCCCCCTCCTCCTCCCCCCCCCCCCCCCCCCGCTTATTCAGCGGTCGGCTGAGTCGTTGCGATTTTTTTGGGACCAAAAAAAAAAAAATGTGTCCCCCCCCCCCCCCCCCCCCCCCCCCCCCCCCCCCCCCCCCCCCCCACTTATTCAGCGGCTGGCTGAGTCGTTGCGAAATTTTCGGACCGATTTATAAATGTTAAAACCCCCCCCTTGAAAAAATCCTGCGTACGCGCCTGCTACTACTACTACTACTACTACTACTACTACTACCACCACCACCACTACTACTACTACTACTACTACTACTACTACTACAACTACTACTTCTACCACTACTACTACTACTACTACTACTACTACTACTACTGCTGCTGCTGCTGCTGCTGTTGCTACTACTACTACTACTACTACTACTACTATTACTACTACTACTACTACTACTACTGCTATTATTACTATAACTACTACTTCTACCACTACTACTACTACTACTACTACTACTTCTACTACTACTACTACTACTACTTCTATTACTATACTACTACTACTACTACTGCTGCTGCTGCTGCTGCTGCTACTACTACTACTGCTACTACTACTAATACTACTACTTCTACTACTACTACTGCTACTTCTAACAGTAAAAACAAATTGAACAATTTCATGTCATGGTTCTAAGTTTTACATAATTTGATGTAGACTGCAAAAGGGACATTGTACCTTTAAGGTACCCATGATTTACGGGGCAAATATGTATAACAGTTGAATATAGGTGCGATTTGAAAGGCACATTAAATTTGTGTGTGTGGGTGTGTGTGTGTGTGTGTGTGTGTTTGTGTGTATATTGGGTTTTTACAGACGTGTATCAATCAGATATGATTGTTGACACTAGCATAAGTATATATAAAAACAAAACTACAACCGCTATGTAACATTTTCTTCAAATGAACATGTTATATTTTCAAAACTTATATCACCTTTATTACAAGACATATTATATATGATAAAGCACACAAAATATTTGAAGTAATGAAGCTATGAAATAAATTAATTAGGCCTATATCAAATGAAACAACATTAAATATCAATCAGCTCCAATTATATCATGGAATTTGCCTTGAGCAAAGCATCATGATATAGGGTAGGTGTTGGAAATCAGAGACCCTTAAGCACATTTGCATAATTTACATAAACATGGAAAATTTTACACATACAGAAAGTTTTGTTTTCTCTTCAGTTACTTCTTCTCTTTATTTGGTAACAAAATTGTGGTCATGATGTAACTGATTAATAAGATATCAATGATTAATGACGCCATCACCAAAAGTCTCTCATTACCTACATGTGTAGGTAATAAGGGATAGTTACAAATCAAGGCATTTTAAATATATTTTGAATGAAAATGGAATTGTTATAATTAGTTCAAACACTTTTTGAAAGAGATACATGCAGCAAATAAACTTACTGTAATTTTTAAGACAATTTTAAAACAATGTGGCCAAAAATATTTCCGTAGCTTTTTATTTACAGTAATAAAGGTGCTTTAAATTATGTTTAAATACTTTCAGAATAATGTTCTGGCAATGTGAATTTTACATTGAACAAACTTACAGCATAGAAACAACTTCTTAAAAACTTTTTAAATGCATTCAAATTAGAATGGTGACACAAACCACTAAATATGTTTTATGGTAGTCTTTCAACATGAAATAAACAACTGAAGGAAAGTAGGCCCCCATCTTGAACCTGGTGTCCCCAATTGCCTACACACGTTTCTGATCAGACACCATTCATAATGTGCATTGCAACACCCAATCACAACACACAATGGCCATAAGTTTTGTGTGCTGGTTGGCACACTTCATAAACTTCCTTTTAAAACTACTTTTTAAGAGCCACCCCTGAATTTCTGCATACACCACAACATTTAGGGAAAAATTATGTTTTTATATAAGATCAACATTGCTTATCTTGGTCAATTTTGCCAATTTTCTCGGAGAGAGAACGCATTGTAGTCTTCGAAATGAATTGGATATATGCAGTAGTATAATTGTTAAATGCCACATATGGCAGAATAGCAATATTGGAGCCAACACAGACAGACAGTGATGGGTTCAAGCTTAGTGGTCTCCAATTCCCTACACCTAACCCACATAATATATGCATTTAAAATCCAATAACATTTTTTTCTTTGTATTGTTTTTTTTTTGTATTTAAAATTATTTCAAATTGCCGTGCATGGATAAATGAACGATGCTTGATGAATAAAAAAAAAAAATAGCGAAGACGCAACATCTATATGGATTACAACGGTATCAATAACCTTGGTGCGAGTCAACAACAATTCAACTGCTGTTCGGTTCGGATTTAAGAAAAAAGAGATAAATAATCAGCCTAGTATAGTTCAGGAGGAGACCATTTTATTACCTGAAATTATTTACAGAAAACGTAGTAGGTCCATGGTTTGGGCAAATAATAAAATAAGTTGTGAACTTTCTCTTTCTTCTCATGTTGGAAAGGCATACACTAGAAGAAACATCCCATGAAAAGGATTACTCATAAAATCCCCTCATATCTCAAATAATTATGATGAGAAATAGGATAAAAATTGTGAGCAAAGTTTCTTGAGACATGTATGTAAGTCTTTATATTCATTTCAGTGTGCAGTACATGTGACTTCAATTTCTTTCAATTTTGACTATTCTAATACCTAGAACAGCTTACAAACATGAATTCTTACTGTACTACTTAATCAATCTTTCCCAATAAGTGCCACAAGTTTCTTTCACAATTAATTTAGATGAAGAGTACTCAATAACATTTATAAACATTAACGACATTAAACAAAAAGCTAAAAGGCTAGATCAATGTACATGTTATTATTTACATTGATCTACATTTGCCACATACAACCCAGGTGATGTAAATGGGTACCTGGCAGGAATTAATTCCTTGAAATGCTGGAGCGCTGTATACGGCAGCTAGGCTAAAGCCGGGGTAATAATAAATGCGCCTCGAAAAAGAATTTCTAGATAGACGGCGCTTTAGAAATGCCTATTATTATTTCAACTATTATTTCCATTTTCCCCTCCACTACAGGTAAATTACAGATTTTCTACTGAAAAATTCATTGTCAAGAACAACATTTGTTAAAAAGTATGCATCAAGTTTGAATATGTTAGTAAACCATTTTTTTCACGAGAGGCTGCAGCAGCTAGATCAAGAACTGAGTTTTTGTATTTGTATCTTGAAAATTATTTTCACATGCACCCTTTCCCTACGACATACTCTATCTTGAAGGTTAAAGAAAGCACACGATACCGAGGTACAAGAAGACTTTCAATAAGGCTTGTTTCTTGAATTTCATTAACCGTCATATTTGTATCACTGGTAGGTTTTAGAAGGATCAACCTTGCACGAATCGCGGCCCAGGGAATCTCGAAATAAACAGCACCCCTGCAAGGATTTGAATACTTTTCTTTAACTCTAGTTTCTTTACCCCATTGCTTAGAATATCTGGCGCTTCTTCACCAGAAATATCATTTTCGTTGCTGACGTTCCTGATCAGCGGACATAGCTCCTCATCCGTCAGTGTGGCAAGGGTCCTTCCTCGAAGATGTATTGGTGTCCAACAGGTCAACGTGTTTTCGTTGGAACGCATGTACCATCTGTACAATGGATGCAGGGAACAGTCACAGCGCCAAGGATTGGGATCGAAAGAAATGGAACGAGAGACTTCTGGCAGGGTCAGGGGTGAGATATTGACAAGGTCATTGTTACCGAGCAGGAGATCAAAGTGGCCCATCTTCACAAGTGCTTCATGGCCGATGACCTGAAGGTGATTGTCCTCGAGGTTTACCAAGACAAGGTGCATGTTGAATCTCAGTGCATGCATTTGTATGCTTGTGATGGCATTACCCTTGAGATTCAAATACGAGATTCTTGGTGTCAACTTGAAAGAATCTCGCTCCAGAAGGTTGATGTTATTAAATGACAGATCTAGTTCCGCAACATGCATCGCTTTAATTGATGGAATGGTGATAAAGGAGTTGTATCGTAGGAATAGTTCCCTGTCAAGTGCCAACGTGAGATTAAGTGGTTCGTTGCTGGCATCACGTCGATGGAAGAGGGTCACATTATCCATGTACAGCGAATGAAACATGCTCTTACCTTGCCGGGAGAGCAATTGTTCAAAGGGCATGTAAGGAATTAGTGTGTGCGATATTGCCAGTGATACAAGTTGAGGGAGATTCAGGAATACGCTCATCTCAACTACACTGATAGGATTATCAGACAAGGAGAGGGTCATGAGCTGATCACAACCTTCGAATATGAACGAGGGTAGGTATGAAATCAAATTCGAATCGAGATATAAGTTCTTTATCCTACACGCCAAGTGGTCAGTAGTAGCGTTTGCCACGGAATGTTGCGCAAAAGGGACAATTCTCGTTAAGTTTTCGATTCTATTTTTTCGGGCATAAAGAAATCGAACGGTGGATGTATATGGTAAAACTAAAACTGGCAACAAATTTCCATCAAATACACATGTAATTGCTGTGTTCGAATTAAACTCGCAAGTATTCACGTTGGATATCTGGTTGTAACTCATATTCACAATAGATAATCTTGGTAAGTGATCCAACATGTCAAATGTTGACAAATTGTTGTTTTGCAGCAGGACCTCGGTAAGAGCCAGACCGCCGTTTAACGTAATGTTAGTCAACCCATTACTAGAAAGATCAATTGAAGTTAAGAATTTGAACTCTAGATTATTAAGAAAAACTTCTTTTATTTCATTATTTCTCACGTGGAGACTAACAAAGTTTGAAAATATTTGTGTCAATGCTGGCAATTTAACTAGTCTGTTATCATTCAACACAAGTATTCCTAGATTATTACACCCCAGGAAAGCCGTTGGACTAACGTAAGTAATATAGTTATCGAGAAATGAAACAATATGCAAGTCAGTCAGATTCTGGAATTGTTCCACCTCAGATATCTTATTATGTTGAAGATATAGCACATGCAGTTGTTGAAAGGATGTGGGATTGTGTCGGTTGAATGCCAAAATATCGTTGTCATCCACTTCAAGGGTTCTTACATTTGGAAAAGATTTGAGAAAATTAAGATCACTGAGTCTATTCCCACTCAGTTTTAAAGTGAAGACTGAATTGATGACAGCATAGTTTTGACTTATCCCATCTGGACGCTTTGTTTCTAGTACGGAAATATTTGTAATATCATTGTATGCAACGTTAAGATATACGAGGCTTGGGAATATTGTCTTGTTTACTTCCAACGTACCATGAAGATTACAATGGGAAAGCGTTACATATTTAAGTCCGTCCATTATAGGTATGTGGGATACATCTTGTAAAGAATTGTTACTCAAGTCAAGGATCTCTAATGCGTTAGTGTCACCAAACCCAACAAGTGACTCGATGCGATTTCTACCTATCTTGAGCACTGTGAGGCTTTGACCAAGCCTGATCTTCGGAAGAGAGCTGGGTGAGTTGTTGTCAAGTGACAGAGATTTGAGCTTGTGTGGTATAACATGGGCAGCTCTTTGGATGAGGTTGTTTTGCAGATCTAGAAGCTGAAGGCGGGGGAGACCACTTAGATCTGGAAGAGACCTGATGAAGTTGTTTCTCATGGTGATCGTACGCACAGCATACGCTGTCTGGGATTCTGGTATGTCAAAAACCCTGATCCCGCATGAATCGGCAGATAGATCAGTGATGACAACACAACTGTCTGCAAAAGATCTAATGAAATTAAAGGATATGTCAAGGGAATCGAAAACCACAAAGGGAGAATCCTTGATAGCCAATGACTGGATTAAATTTGAAATCGCGATCAAGAAGATCTTCGGGAGGAGGCTCATGAAACTCACGTCAGTCATGAGATTGTTAGACAGGTATAGAATGGTGAGAGCCGACATGTGCTGAAATGCACGTGGTTCAATAATAGATATGGCGTTGCGGTTTAGAATCAATCTTTGTAGGCTGGTCAGGTTTGGAAAGGATTCCGTCTCGATCATACGAATGTTATTTTTAGATAGATCAATTCCCCTAGTTCCAAGAGATATGTTGGCAGTCGGAACCTCGGTAAGTAGTTGATTGCGACAGTAGACATAGGCAGATGCACATTTACATGATGTTGGACACTGCTCTTCTTCCGGTTCCACAAACGAGAATAACAGCATAAACACAAATACACACATGTACTTCCTGTTACACTGAACTCGCTTTTCTTCTGCACAGAATGCAGGGTTGGCCATTTTGAAATATGCAGGTTTCGTGTCTGAAATACTTGACCAAGAATGGCGACTGCAGAAACAAACGGGGGAAATGAAAAATGTCGCACTCTGAAGACAGTTTTATTTAGAACTTCCAGATTTGTCCCTTATGTTGTAAGCTCTTCATGTGAAATACGCGCGGATTTTTAAATATTTCTTGGCTAGTCAAATTTATTTTAACTTTTTTTTTTTTTTTACCAGCTTGCATTGTGTCAATGACACCAATAATTTACTTAAAAGGGCAATGTGGTATTGCTTCTTCGCCTGCGGATTTTCAAAAAATAAAGATCGAGATACTTTCCAATTTATCGCGAACTTTATAAAGGCTGAAATTAATCTTCATTATCGTTTAAAAGTGTATTAGCCTTTTATTAGTTGAATGGCACCGACAAATTGTGAGAGGGAGTAATAGTATGTTTGTAAAGCGCTTAGAGACATTTGTATTAAGCGCTATATAAAAGTTAAATATTATTATTATATTATTATTTATTTAGGCAGGTATTACGAAGGAAGAGAGAAAATAGAATCAACAAAACCAAAACCAAAAAGTGTCTTTTAAAGTTTAGCGGACATATTGGTGCTTGCAGATTTAAGTTGCTCATAAGCGGATTGGGAGAGGGTAGTGAACCTCCCGAAGTCATTGACATTAAGAACACATCCATCTCCACTCTGTTTTTATCAAGAATAGTATAATGACTCAATATATGTATACGTAAATAAAGACAAAAAATGTTGTAGGCCTATACGTCACATGCCTATAGGGGCAAATTTCTGTTTCCTTTGTGCGACCTTAATAGACAGATTCGATTTGAAAACAGTACCGCTAAAAATTATTAGAACACCTGCTAAAGTCGACACATTTGCTTTTAATTTGTTTATCAATCTTTGGTTCTCCATTTATCTCCAGTTCAAATACGGATTGAATACAAAATCCTAACGGTTGTCTTTAAAAGGTATTATATACCTCATACATAGATTGTCATTCACTGATTGGTCAAAACTATATCACATGGAGCATTTCGATCTATCAAGTATCATTACGTCAGAGGGTTTGATAGCTACTATCGAACCCCGGGATAGGACCCCTAACCCCTCCCGCGGCTTAGTTGCGCACACAAATTTTTTGAGTTGCTAGGCTACCGCAATCGCGCGGTTACGCGCAACGCGTAGGAATTCATTACTCTTGCCTTGGACTTGATGTTGGATTTTTCTTTTTTTGGTGAGTAATTCCTCTTGATCTAGTTTCCTGTTTTTTAGTGCTAGATCTAGACCTACAGCTAGACCTAATCATGAATCATTACAAAGGATGAGTTATATAAAACAAATATGGACTGCTCTGTAATCGGATGATGGTGGGAACTACCACTCCCTCGGTAGTGTTAACACAGGCCATTCTATCACCCCTCGGCTTCGCATCGGGGGTGATAGAAGGACCGGTGTGAACACCACCTTGGGAATGACAGTTCCCACCATCATCCTCATGAGCAGTCAATATTTGTATACTATGTCCCGTTTGCAGGCCAAAAAAATGAAAAGGTTAAATTCCAACGGCATTTGAAAGATAATACTAATTTAGAACTTCCCTAAAAAGAAGGGGGCTTGAAAATGTCTGTTAGTGGGAAAATAATGACTATTAGTTGTCGAATCGACTAAGGAGCTATAGAGCCAATAAGTAAAAGTCTTGATATTCAGACCATTGTACCGAATGGCTGTACGTTTTATGCTGCGCAAAGATTCAATCAGTTTAATTTTAGCCATAACAAGAAGTGAGTTATTGATGTAGACAAATGCTCATGTACCCTTTACATCTCATTTTATGTATGTTATTACCAAAGAAAAAAAACCAGTCAGTTACTCAATAGTGTCTGACAGTAAAGTCTAGCAAGTAAACGGATTTCCTTGCATAATTTGAATATTATGAGACTGTTAACGTTTCAATTTCACAGATAGGACTTACATGACATATTCACAATTGCTGCAAAGTTCTACAGAATTGGAGGTTGGCTGCAAAAGGGACATAGTATCTTTAAGGCACTCCACAACACTGCACCTGAGTACACTGCAAAAATCAGAATGTTAAAATTAACACCAAAGGTGTTCAATTTAACACTTTCTTGGTATCCAAATCGGACAACTCCTCTGGTGTTACTTAACACCATTTTCTGGAATTAGATCATTTCAATTCCACGTTTGGTGTTAATATTTGACAACTCCTACTGGTGTAGATTAACACCAATATCTGGAATCATAACACATTCAATTCCACTCTTGGTGGTAATATTTGACAACTCCTACTAGTGTAGATTAACAACAATAACTGGAATCATAACAAATTCAATTGCATATTTGGTGTTATATTCCCGTTGATCCAATGGTCCCACATTCCATATTTCCTATTATCGACCATTATCGACCAGGGTAGAAGAACCAATGTTAAACTGATAATTCATAATCGATGTTGGCAACTGTCCACCAATAGGTATATTCTAATCTCCATTGCATTATTAACTCCATCACATATATCATTTGAAGTAATTTCAAGATTAACATTTAAATGATATGGGTAGATATGCATGTTGTTTCTTATAATCAATATATCTATTGCTAAAACGTTAATGTAATTTTAACAAGATCGGACAAATTATCTATTGGTCAATAATTGCCAAAGGAAAATAAAATTCACAAAATTGATATGCATTGTCATAATTTGCTTAACAAATCATGATAAATGTATTCTTCTGTGAACACGTGTAAAGTAATTATTAAGCGCGCGTACACTTTGTGAAAACTTATTCGACCAATCAACCACCTTAAACGAAATCACGTGATGATACTTTCAACACCGAGCATAAAACAGCACTATGTTACTTAACACCAAGTAATTATTAATGCATGTTTAAATCTGACCGGCGTTAAAAATAACACCAATGGTGTCAAAAAAATTCAATACCATACTGGTGTTAAAAATTTAACCCCCCCCCCCCTATTTTTGCAGTGTACCTGAAAGATCTCCTCACCATAAAGCAATCCCATTACTCATTCCGTTCTTCTGCCTCTAACATCCTAGAAGTCCCCAGAACCAGAACCACCCATTATGGGGACCGTGCATTTGTGCATGCTGCGCCAGTCTTCTGGAACAAGCTGCCAAGTGCCATTCGAAACATTCAATGCCTGGAAACCTTTCAGAAACATGTTAAACCAGTTTTATTTACTGAGAGTTATAAATTTTTTTGAGTAAGTTATTAGAAAAGTGCGCTTCATAAATATTTGTTATTATTATTATTATTATTATCATTATTATTATTTATACAAGTTGTCACCATACAAATGTTATATTATTTTGTTGAATCATAACAGGGTATATTATTGCATTCCGTATTGCTATGTTTAGCGTCAAATTACATGAAAGTCACGGATCAGGGAATATTTGTTTTATTGTAGATTTTATGTCTTCGTTGTACCGTTCTCGAAAATAATCCTCGTCTGAATTCAGTTTCCCCCTCACGCGCGTTGCGCGGAAGCTCTTACGTTTCATTAAATCGTTAGAGAAAGAAGAAGATTCGTTGTTCCGTTCACGACTCTTAATCCTCGTCTGAATTCAGTTTTTCCCCTACCGCGCGAAGCGCGGAAGCTTTTACGTTTCATTAAATCATTAGAGAAAGAAGACGATTTGTTGTATTGTTCTCGACTCTTAATCCTTGTCTAAATTCAGTTTCCCCCCCCCCCCTCTCCTGCGCGAAGCGCGGAAGCTTTGGCGTTTCATTCAATTATAAGAGAAAGAAGAAGATTCATTGTACCGTTCTCGAAAATAATCCTCGTCTGAATTCAGATTTCCCCCTCCCGCGCGAAGCGTGGAAGTTCTTACGTTTCATTAAATCATTAGAGAAAGAAGACGATTTGTATTACAATTCTCGACTCTTAATGCTTGTCTGAATTTAGTTTTTCCCGCTCCTTCGCGAAGCGCGGAAGCTTTGACGTTTCATTAAAACTATTAGAGAACGAAGACTATTCGCTGTACCGTGCTCGACTCTTAAAGGTTAAGACCAGTATTGGAAACGCCCCAATTTAAAAAAATGAAATGGAAGCTCTTATTACCAATCATGTGAAAGAATATGTTTTGACTTATACATGATGATAACAATTTTGCCGGGAAACTGCCTACTAATTGATATATTTGGTAAATTAGTTTATCTATTGGTGTGTGAGAGATATAACGCATGTGTCGCGCACGTGTGCGTAGTCCCATATATTTCTTTCTGTGTACAGTGCTTATAACTTTATGAAGACTGGGCCAAATTTATTATCATTTTGATGATTCCAGAACCTTGCAGTACACACCATACTTATATGCTAGATGATCAACCTTTTCTGATCGATTCCACAACGTTTCTTTCACAATGCAATCGCATGACCATATTAAAACTGGTCTTTATCTTTAATCCTTATGTGAATTTCAAAAATGTTCTTTGTCTGCTCATTTTTTTCCCACGTCCTTTTTCTTTTCTCTTCTCTCTTTTTTATGCCGGCGTTTTCGGGAGACTGCCACCACCGCTCCCCCCCCCCCCCTGGCTACACGCCTGAGGTCAGATGAACATAATTGTTCGCCCCGGAAGATCAGGGGTTTAAGGCAATAAATTACGGTCAGATAATCATTCAGGGACCCGCCTTAAGGCCCTGGTAGGGTCGAGAGGGCATAGCCCCCGGAAGCTCAGGGGTTTTAGGCGTTTGATTACGGTTAGATGAGCATATTTGATACCTTATTGTGACACTGGCAGGACACTAATTGGCGTGAGGTCCAGCGGGCGGAGCCCCCAAAAGCTCGGGGGTTTTAGGCATTAAATTACCGTCAGATTAGCAACTTAGGGTCCACCTTAGGGCCCTAGGCGGGGTCCAGGGGGCAGAGCCCCGGAATTTCAGGGGTTTTAGGCATTTAATCACGGTCAGATGAGCGTATTTTGATACCTCATTATTTTGTGACAATG